AAAAGCTTTTGAAAATATTTCGACAACCAATCTTTTTTTTTGGCCATGGTAGCCGAATGATTTTTTACGTGGAATGAACAGAGATTTCCATTTAATGAAATGATGCAATTGATAATTGCACATGCACTGTTGTACACAAAAAAAAAACCTAGAGATGTAGTGCTCTTCGAGCCATTTATCTTTCTCCTTTGGCATTTTTTCATAAATGCATTAATAACAGAATTATGACCAGAAACAATTGCGTGGACCACCCTGTATATAGGGATCTCGTGACACCGTCAAAACGACGTATATTCGAGCTATATTCTATCTAACCCAGACAGTTCCGTCGTCGATTGTCCACCATTGGGGAGCCGGAAAGATCTGCCTGCGGTTCCTAGACTCCCACGACGCCCGGCTGTTCCCGCGGCATCATTATTCTCTATTCACGAATAGAAACTGGGTCAGGCAACAGTTTATCAACTGGATCGGCGACGTATCTGTCGGCGCTTGTCCCGCGATGTGAATCGACATCGCTCGGGAACGCGACAAATTGTTTCGAGGCCCGCCAGACACGTCGATGAAAAATCGACCCCCTAAGGAAAATTGAATTCGCTCGACCTTCGAATGTGTCCCTGGACAAATCGAGTGACTCTGAATCGGTTAGATACAGCCCACGTTTGTCCGAAGACAGGATGGTTTCGTGACAAGATATTAGAAATTGTCCACAGATTCGTCCAGTCTCGATATCGATAATATATCCACTGCCTTTTTCTACTGCAATGTATAAATCTGGTTAATATCTAGACAGTGGATTTCAGGAATTGACGATACTCACTAGTTGAATGGTTTCATAACATTCGATAATTTCATTTTCTTTTAATCGTTTAGTGACTCAATTATTAATTGTCAATACAAAATATCAATTACTGCTTAAGAATCATTACACTTTAATTTAGTGCTGGGTGTATATAGTTGGAAAAAAAATGGAAATTATACAGTACTTGCTTGCAAGTGTCGTACAGGTATTCTATGAATATACCAATATTTAAAGTTATAAAGCTCTTTGCAAAAGACAGAAATAGAAAATTGTATAATCGCTGCAGGATCCTGTTCACACTTTCTAACCGAATCTAATTATATAATGTAAAGATTCAACTTATTGTACAAAGGGAAACTATACAAGTTTCACTTTATAAAAAAATTGTAATTGTCGTTGGTAACTACATCAGTGAGGATTCAGTTTGCTATACACTATCACGAATGACGTTGTTCGAGGTCTATATTACTGGAGTTACTTCGAACCGTGGATATCTAAAGTGGTCTATAGACGATCTAACAAACTCTTCGATTATACATACTGTCCCCCACGAGCAATTGGTACGTAAACTGTTTTAAAATATTTGACTTTACTGTTCATGTATCGCATTGTTTAACGACACATTTTATTTCTATAATTCCGCTTTCACCAAGTTTTGTAGTAATTGTACCAGGCGTTTACTAAAATTGTCCAAGAGATAAGCATACATACAAAGAATCCTGTGGAATCTACAGTTACTAAATTACTGTAAATAAGAGTCGATCAAGAATGATGGTACCCTCCATATGCCCTACAATTAAAGAGTACAATAAAAAAGAAGATGAGTATCTACTTAATTTTATTTTGAGTGAAATGAACTTTAACCACTAAAGACCACTAACTAAATATTATTCAATTGTCCCTACCTATTCAAGCTGATACCATTTAACTGATACGATTTACAATACAATTCTATAATAAAAAAAAATACACCCATATGTATTCAAGTATCATAACAGTAAAAAAATTTTCTTTCATAATTTTTACAAAAGGTGCAACTCCAATATCAAGAAAATTGATAATGTAATTTACAAACAAACACAAATAAATTACAAATCACCAAACAAGGAAAAGCGAAATACGCCACAATATAAATAAACATTTAACGTCGAATCACGGAGCGAACAGGACGAACCTAGAATCGATTTCCCCACCGTCAACTACAGAAATGTCCCTGACTGGCCGAAACTCCACAACTTCGGTACAACAAGCACTGTTACGTAACTTGCAAGCTGCACTTTCCAGTCCCGCGTACGTGGAGAATTCACGGCGCAAACGAATCGTCGGACGCGTCGTCGCGTCGGGATTCGGCGGGATATCGCGGCGGAATTGCTTCGCTTCGCGGTGTTGATTTACACGGAAACGCGATTACACGCCGATGAAGATTGCCGGTAATCACGGCTGCACGTGACCGGCATAGGATTCGAAAGGGACGTGGACCGGAGACCATCGAGTGGATTCGCGATACAACTTCACAGCCTTCGATTTAGATGACCAGAAGAGACTCACAAGCGAAGGCACAAAACTGTCCCCCTCCGATTTTTATGAAACTTTGTATGTCTGTTAAGCAGTCAAAAATAAGGGATACGTATTTTTTTTTATCGGCTCAGACGCGACTTTAAGGGGCGAAACCACCCCTCGAAGTTTCGATTCGAAATTTTTTTGTTATAAACATATTATATTTTGGACTATTTGTTAGCACCATATTATTCTACGTAAAAAAATCCAAACCTCGTTCATTAGAAGTTTTCACGTACCTCCTCTGGTTTTCGAGATAGTACTTTCAGGTATCGAGTACTTTCAGGTTTTCGGTACGATCAATCGAACGGCTTTCAAAGGTTGACTCGAAATATGAGGCGAGGCAACGTACTCTGGACCAATCCGCGGGGTCAAACTTTCGATTAGTTTCACGATCGTGTCCGTGGATTTACGGGCCCGAAATAAGTCGAATCGAACCTCCACGCTCCAAGGATACCCCTATAAATAGCTGCGACGTTCCGACGTCGTACGAATCGTTGGACAGGCTATTTCTTTTCCGCGGAACTTATTCCAGCCGCGTCTTCCACAAACCTGCACCAAGTGTAAACAAGAGTCGCGAATTTCGACGTCCGTGGTTCGCCAATCTTGAGTGGCGTAGTTGAGCGGTTGTTCGAGGAAATGTGTTTAATATGTGACGAATGGTTTAATAATGGACACAAGTCATTATTTAAAAACATTTAGTTTCCCAACGATAGCATTTACAATTTTTTCATTGTAATTGACAGTAGTAGAACAGATGAATTTTATTACGATTGGTCCGAATGATATTGCAGGGGTTTGTTTTTGGGTAAATTTTAACCTAGATTTTCAAAGGCTTCATCGAACTATTGAAAAATTTCTAGAGTATCAAGTATTGTAGGAAAAGAGTCATTTTTTTAAATAATAGGGAAAGTGGATCTTAATTAACGATTAAAATTAAGGGTATGTCAGTCTTTCCACGATTGATCTAACAAGAGTCGATTTTTTAAGTTCACTTGAACATTCTTGACTATTACTCTATTTCAATACCCGCGGCAGTGCAATCCATATTAGAGCTAAGAAGTTTCTAACTTTACGCGCTACATATTTCTCGCTTTACACGCGTACTACTTCTGTTTTATGTTTCACGCAATAAACTCGTAATAATAAAAAATTATAATAGTTCGTATTTATATAGACAGGTAACACCCGTATAACAAGGTAGTTAGGTAAATATCTACAATCTACAGACATACAGAAAAACAAGGTTAGGTTCCAAAAATTAACAAAACTACGCTGCTTCACGCGATTCTTTAACCGTGTTACAGCGAAATGTTGTTCGCCATACAGTGTACAAGAATAAAATATTACCTAAGATTATTAGATTCAGGTATGTTATCAGAGACTCCTCGACCATTTATTTTACGAAGGGATACTGGCGTATACTCCAATATTATCCCCTCAAGGTCCCACCTCCGCAATATTACATTCGACGAAAATATGACACTGCTTTCTCCCCATTCACGTATTATTACATCTTAGCAAACAAATAATGGTACAAGATAATAAAAAAAAACCAGTAAAAAAAATAGAAGTTTCTTCCGAAAAATAATTTTTAATACAAAGTAATGAAACAAAAGAAGCTATCGTATTTTACGCGTCAAAACTGTTTTTATTTAAATAAAATGTAATAACCGAAATGCTTTTTAATGTTCGTCGTACTTACTATCAGTAGGTATAAAATGATCCTTAAGTATGCCTTCAAAGAAATGTGAATAAAAAATATAATTGATCACGTAGCTAAATTTAATTTACACCAATGATAAGATAGACAAACTAACTTACAAAAACTACTTTACTTTTATTTAAACAATGAGCATTTCCATTTTCTATATAAATCACTCCTTAAAGGGATCGTTTTAGACACCTTTCCCCTATCTGTTTTTATTTACCGTTGACGGTGGTCCCTGTTGACAACCATCCAACATGTCAAACCTGTCCATCGATGAAATAACGAAAAATCGAACCAAAAGAGCGATTCCATTTTCACGAAGAAGACACAAAGACCCCTATCATCCGCGATGTCCCGTCTGAAACGGGGGCGTCTGAATGCGCGATATCGAATAACCGTGTAGCACCGTGTGCAGGGCGTTTGAAGAAGACATTTCAATGAGTCTCGAGCAACGAGATTGGAAAAAAAGAAAACAGAGAAGAAAGAAGAAACGAGGAGGGCGGGGGTGGCGTTGATACGTTCCATTAGCGGGCGACAAAGTTTCCGTCGTTGCCCCCCCCCCCATGTACCAGCGCGAAATTGTGTTCTCTCGAGCTACAGAGGCGGGGGCCACGAAAGCCGATACAGACCGAAACGGTGAGTCGATTCGATTTCGAACGACAGCCGCGATATGACCGCGATAGAGAAAGAGAAAGAGACAGAGGGACAGCGTTGTACCGCTGAGAAAATTGACTTATCGGGGCGAGCTCGAGTGTTCCGACGACACGGTTAAGCTAAAGGGAAAGTTCGAACGTTTACTGGTCAAACGACGCGGTGTGCAGCTACAACTCGATTTGGTTGGTGAAACCAGCAACTGGGACGCGTCGATTCGAGGGAGAATTTTTGAATAGCGTTAATAGGGTAGATAATGAATGGAAATAGCGAAAGACTTACCTTCAAAATGTTCTCCAGATCCGCTGAATTCTCGGTGGGGTCGGGCCTCGTGTTTGTCCCCTAAAGCAACAGAATTGAGAATTAATTTTTCATTTAATGCCCCGTGGAAGAAGACGCAGATACAAACGTATTCTTAACAGTCCATTATCTTGGTTTAGCCCCGAATTATTTAAGCTTGGACTACACAGCCTTCGGGTCTCTTTCGATCCAATCACGTTTTCCTTCTATTTTTTTTTTTTTAACACTAATCCTGTTGTTCAGGATGTTTCGATATAATTATGTTATTTACGTGAGTTAGTTCTTTTTCGTTCCGTTATATTTCCTGTATTATACTGGTGTAATAAGCACAATATGATTATCATTGTTGTAAGACTGCTGGTTTTTATGCATTTACATTATACACGACTGTTTGAGTCTCAATGTAGCGACCACTTTGGTGAAACAAGATTTTTATATTGTATGAAACTTCTTAAAACTCCTAATAGTGAACAAGTCTTTGTCCGATTTCAATTTCTTGTTTTTGGTTTTGTAGCTCAATGTACAAAAAGCATACGTCCGTATAGATATTAGACAAATAAATAAATTTCCATAAAACTAGTCCATAAGAATGTACACGTGCATAAATAACCGCAGTCCACTCGACGTGCATTGTAAATTAATATACTTATCCTAGGATTATAGTCCGATAACAAATGAAATATTGCACACATCGAACAATTCGGAACGCGAAATAACAACAATTAATACCCCAAACATCCACATCCCGCGATAACTCTCTTTCCGCAGTTCCCTCAATTCCGCAAGCAACTACAGAGACATATCGCTCTATTCTCCTCTACATTATCAATTCTCATACCGATTCGTCATCCAATCAGACGGTAATAAACCCGAGTGGTGCGAAACTCCGCTTCGAAACAAAACAAGCTAAAATGATTAAATCCTTCCAATCGGAGATTGAACGTGTTGTTCCCGGCCATGTCTCTCGTTTCTTCCCCAGAACGGGTAATATTGTATTTTCCCTCGTCCGTAAAGGCCCGTTTACACGGTCAAATAATTTTCGAAAACCGACTTGCGCCTTACAGGTTTAATTGTAATTTTAATTATTAACCCTTATAGTACCTTATAAGTTTCCAGAGTACCGTCCAAAAATACCTTGAAAAATTTACCATTTTTTTCACGAATGTATTAAAATTATATATTTCTCTTAAAAATGAAGATATTTTTACGTTTTTTTTTTAATCTATTGTGTAATGAATATAGTAGGTATTATACAAACTTATTTTATAAAAATAAAGTGTCATTATACGTGTTTAAATTACATTACAAATGAAAAGCCGATATATCAGCTCTAAGGTATTAAAATGGTTAATTTTCTGCATTGCCTTCGGATTGTGTAACTCGTGGTTTTTGGATTAAACAGTGTACTGTATATATCCTTAAAATGGAAAGTATCGATGACAATTAATAAATATTGACAAAATTAATATTTACTTGGGCAAATGCAAATTCACAGGTCCGTTTGCGCAAATTATCTGATTATATAAACGAGCCTTAAGGTACGCGTTCACGTGACAGTAAATCGTAACTTTTGAAAAGCAGAGGTCGCGTTGACGTGACACTGGTTCACCTTGTCATTAGGAGTGGAAATAATTTTTGAATACTTGAATAATTTGAATACTAGTACATTTGAATAGCAGTAGAATTCGAATTTGATATTCGAACATTTGAAGTACTCGAATGTGATATTTGAATATTCGAAGTATTCGAATTTGATATTCGAATATTTGAAGTACTTGAATTTAATATTTGAATTATTCGAAGTATTCAAATTTGATATTTGCATATTCGAATTATTCGAAATTGATCGAATTATTCGAGTAATTCGAATATCCGAATACTTACAGTTCCAATTGTCATACAGTGTCACGGCAACAAAAGCCACGACTTCTACTGTCACGTAAAAACGTGCCTTTAAGGTCGACAACAGAGCCCGCGGAATTAATCGACGATAATCGAGTCGGACGCGTAACGTGCTCTCCTATCCGAGAACACGGCTGTTAATTAAAAAACGATCCCGAGGACGAATCCGACGGAGCACTCGCTCGAGGTTCGTCCCGCGATTTATCATGGGTTCTCTCGGGCGATCATTAATCAACGCTACCAGTAGAAGAAGGGACGTTGAAAGGAGCGACGGGAGGACGGTATTACGAGTCACGCCAGTCGTTTCTGGCTGGAGAACGCGAAGACAATAGGGAGGGAAAAGCGCGTGGATCCGCGTGACGCCAGGCTAAAACGGATAGGGGATGGCTGGCTTTAGCCCCCGGGACAACGAACCTAGGGTAAGGGACTAAGGAGCCAGGATAATCGCGAATGAAGGGTGGAACGCGGAAAAATTCCGGAAGCGGAGAAGCCAGTTGATAAGTTGGGTGAAAAGAGGCCTGGGGAATCGTTAGAGTGAACGAACTTCCAACCAGGTTGGACTGAATGGATTCAACGAGCGCTGATGGAGCCTCTGGGGCCTGGAAGTTAGGGTATCGTGGAACGATCTTATGAGGGATTTTGTGAGAGATCTGACCAGGTTGACGAAAGTATCCAAACTGTGATCTGTTTGTAATTGAAATGGACACAATTTTCATGACATGGAAATATCTTTAAAGTATTTTATGCATTGTACATACAGTATAACCTCGATGAGTGTTATTTATGAGGAGAGGTCCCTAGGTGTAACGCTGACGTTTTAATTCTGACGCTAATGATATTTGTTTCAGATGAATATGGCCATTAATTTATGAAATATTTAATGTTCAGTGCCGAGGAGTCTTCGAACACTCATCGAGGATTTACTGTATGGGAAAGCATATTAGGATCAGATATAACCTTTCAAACTGTATAGGGTGGATCTCTAATTTTGTTCACCTAAAATGTTGTTGTAACTTCGGACAACGGAAAACAATTTAACACGTTGAGTGCCACGGTTTTTATTCTTGGAACTGTATTATGATATTTATGGTAAAATACAATCACTCAGGTCTTTGGTATTATCAATATAAATATTTGCGTGTTGACTCGAACACTCATTACTTTCATGATCTTCTTTTGGAATTCAATGTTTCTTCGTGTAATTTAACCATAGGTTACTAAACTATCTTGTGACTTACATAATATAACTAATCATTCATAGAAATTACGACTGAACGGAAGCAAGTAATATTTAGAAAAATACTAGTGTTATTCAGATAAAAACTCCTACGTTATTTATGATAGCCAAACTCAGAAATAATAAAAATGTAACACAGTAATAATTCATCACAATCTACACATGGTGACAACATTGACAACAACATGCCGATTTCTGAGAATCCCGAATTCGAGGTCGTAATTTTTACGTAAGCTCACTAATCTAGGGTTAATGAAGCTGATCATCAGTGACCTTCATGGCAGTCAACGTGTTAAGTTAGAGTTTCATGGACTCTGTTGGCTATGTATTTAGTATATACCGCTCAAACCAATTAGAGCATCAAAAATAGACATGGACGTTGGTATAGTACGTAGAAGATGTCGATTCATTAAATTCGGCATTTGTTTCGTTACTTTCGCTTGTTAGCCCATCACAACCTTCCACAATAACAACGTTATAATTGCTTTGATCAGTGTAGTCGTAACAGTTCCGTTATAATATTGGCATGAAGATCTAAATATCAATATCCATATGCGTTTCATTGAAATTCCCACTGGAACACTTTCGTCCACTTGTACGGTACAACTTCCGCATAAGCACAGATTCCAATTATTCAAATAAATTCAAAACCGTGAGCGAGCACGATAAAATCATTTTCCTTCGACTATAATCGACAATATCCATAACACGAATATACATATACACGATACCCTACGAATTAGTATTACCATTTCAATCCAATTCCAATCGTTTCTCCCCACAATCTAATCCATCCGAGCGTAAAATCACCTGTATCACCTGCATTAGCAAAATAATCCCGTGCGTAAAATCCCTTTCAGAATTTTCATTTTTCTCCCATCAATATCGCGCGTAATTTCCACCTAATTCCGCGGACGAAACCGAACGGCAAACGAACGATCTCGGGGGGTGGGAAACGAAGAGACCACAAAGCGAGAGATAAAAAACAAATGGGGCGATTGGTGGGTAAGAATGGGGGAAGGCCGCGAAAGGACCATGGGAATCAATTTTCCACGAAGAGCCAAGAGGATGTCGCCGTTTCTACGGGCGAGCCTAATTGTATAAGTAGACCGAGAGATAGCGGTTCTCCCTCTGTCTTGACGTGTTCGAGGAGAACGCGCGCAATAGAGGGGACACACAGGAGACGCGGAACCGAATCGGGGAAGACCCGATCGATAGTCAATCTCAATGAAATTTGCACCTCGAGGAGTCACGCGTAATAGGGCTCGACCAAACTCGAAGCCCTTTCTCCCCTGTCCCCCTTCTTCTTCCTACACCGTGTACTCCTCGAGCAGGGATTTCCATTGAAAAGCAATTCGTTTCCTGTCAACGAACCTGTCGCCGCGATGCTTTCACCGTACCCCTAACCGCCCCCCTTCGGAAAGAGGCTTCCTCGGCGGGCTGGGATGGAACCGAGGAGGCGGTAATAACCTCTTTATTGTCACTTCGGCCCGATTAATACCGGGGACGAAAACGCTTGATCTTTTCTCGGGGATCGACGCGATTCGAGATACCGGACGTCAAGAGTATGCTTTTTGATTCTGGTCTGGTGGATGAAGAGTGGAGAACGTTGCGAATGTAGAGGAGAGATTGTGAAATTTTTGAAACAAAATCTAATTAACGTTAGTTTTCTGAAGCATAATTGTTATTCTTTGATGGAGACATGATTAACCCCTTGGTTTAGAACATCGAGTCACATACGTGATGACGTTTTTAAACTGTATTTAATAAACATTCATATAATTCGTTTTCTTTAAGTCAAAGGGAAATACTGTCCCGCTGGTAATAACATTTAAGATTTAGAGTGAATGTTACACTTGATATAAGAATAGAATTATTTTTGTACCTGGGAAACTATTAACGATAAATTCTTGAGAATGCAGTCGTCGATACAATTTCACATGTATATCATTTTTTAAGAAAATGTAATCTACAAATATAAACATGCAACATTTTACTTCGTCGAAATCTATGTATATTAAAACCCATGTAAAGCCATATAACTCTCACTGAAAGTTCCTTTGTGCTCAAAGAAAATAAAAAAAAAAAAAAATTTCATGTGCAGTTGGAACAAGTACTTGCACTGAACGCCAAAGTTCCCCGAAACACCAACCGCGACTAATAAAATTTTTAACAGGCTTCGTTTCCCCTCTTCATTCACCAGTACATTGCAATCCACTTAACGAAACAGTATATCGCAACGCCCAACAACCGATCACCGCTAATTCAACGTGTACACACGCCGATCGCAACAGGCGATTCAACAACGAACCGGCCCGATATCTAATTTCATCGTACTCCGCTTAACGATCACCGAAACGAGAGTAAATAAAGGCCGGGACGGGTCCGTCGTTAACAAAGCGATCGCGGGAACGTGGACAGCGAAAGTTGGCATCGCGCCTGGAAGTCAAGAGACACCAGTGGCAGAAAATACACACACGCACCGTCCCGCAGCGACGACAAGAACATTTTACCCCGTGTAAACAAGATCGACTGGAAGGTATTGTGCAGAAATCGTAAGTCACTGAATACCTACGACTGGTTCGCGTTATCGCTCAGTCCCGCTCTATCTCGATGTGTATCCTTCGCCGTCTTCGTCACGCGACAGATTTGTGGATGTAATCGACTAACAAGGGATGTTTCTGTAAGTTTGCTCAATTAATTATGGGACGAAATTAAAAATATACTTGGTTGGCGCTACTTTTAGTCGTTAAGACAGAAACCACCCTTTTCATCCGAAGCGTCCCTTTCACTTACTGCAGAAGATATCGAAAATATGTTTAGACAAATTTTATATTGTTTTCAGTTGTCCATATACCGGGAGGAAGAAATTACCCAAGAAAGTTATTTTCAAAAAAACATTCTCGACAAAATTACTTTTTCGAAAATTCTTTTCCATTGATATATGGTCAACGGAAAACTATGTAAAATTTATCTAAACGATTTTCCGATATCTTTTTTAGTTTCCGAGTTACAAGCGACCAGCAAGGGAAGTTCAGTAACCCGAACATTGCGATTTTTTTTAAACTTTGTTTTGGCTTTTTCTTTTGGCAATTTTTGTTTTTGGCCCAATTTCAGTTCTTCGGGGTGAAAACATCCTTTGGAGATAGATAAGTGTTTCCATATTTCCCTGTATATCTTTAAAACTATCGTAGATATAAAAAAAATGATTATAAGAAAAATTGAATGGTTTTTTTAACCCCTTAACCTACGATGTACTTATCACATATTCCACAAATATTTATAACTTTAGGAGGGCGCCGCCGCTAATATTTATATTTGGCCCGATTATCGTATTACGGGCTATGCCCGTAATATTCACTTTTGGCCCGATCATCTACTACGGGCTATGCCCGTAGTTGTAGGTTAAGGGGTTAATTACTAACCCACTTTTATTAATTATCAATTTAATTGCATCGTTTTATAGAGCATAAAAAACCATTCAATTTTTATTTTAACCATTTTTTTATATCTACGATAGTTTTCAAGATATATAGGGAAATATGGAACCACCAATCTACCTTCAAGGGATGTTTTCACCCTGAAGAACTGAAATTGGGCCAACAACAATAATTGCGCTATACCTCTCTTAAGGTCCCCTACAAACCTGCAAAGTTTAAAAAAGAATCAGAATTTTCAGATTACCGAACTTCCCTTGTAAGTAAAGGGGATGCTTCTAACAGAAACAGTAGTTCCTCCTTAAAAGTCTCGAACCAGCACCAAGCAAATGTAGGAAAATTCTCAGATCAATCCCATAAACAATTGATCAAAGTCACAGAGACATCAGTAATCGTTTGTGGCTGGAGATGGTTCAGTTAATCTGAGTCATCGACGACTTACGATCTCTGCATAGTAGATGGTAGGACGAGGACAACTGAAATGGGATATAGGGTGGGTTGGGAGAGGTCGTAGACGGCGGCTGGATGGTGGTGGTGGGCCACGAAACAATGGAAATCGATACTCACGTTATCGAGAGGTAACCTGGACAGTCTGATGCCGGCGGAGTGAAGCCTGCTGCCGGCGGCAGTCGCGATGATCGAAGTGCCGCCGCCTAGCGTCCCGTTCCCGGGCGAGTTCGGGGGCGGTCCCTTGGCGGGCAATAAACCGTGGCTACGATGATCGTTGCTGTTGCCCCCGTGTTTGACCGGCTGCCCCGGATAACCGCCCCTGCCTCCGTACGGCGGTTTACCATCCGCAGGCTTCACGAAACCGCCACGCTGATGGCTCGACGACGAGGACGAGCTGGTCCTTGGCCCTCCGGGTTTCTTGAATTCTTGGGAGGACGGCGAGCTCCTGGAATTCGAGACGACCAACGCGGAGCTCGTTCGTAGGGACGAGGTCGCCGACGAAGGGGCCGGGCTGGGTGGAACACCCTCGATCCCGATCAGCCGCTTCGGCTCGTCCAGGAGATGCTTCACCAGCGAATAGTTGCCCAGCTTCGATTGGATCTGCTGCGTCGTGCTGTCCTGGGCGTCCGGGTTGACCTGGAAGTGGACAAAATTTTTGGTCATTGTCGGGACAGGGATATTCTGATTGTAATGAGACGATACCACGCGATTGAACGTCTGATTTGCGTTGCGGATACTTGGGAATATGGGGGGGCCTTTGGCTAGGTGGATACTGGGTCCCTTGAAACTATGGTTTGTAAATGAGACTGCGAGATACTTAGACAATCACAGTGATTGGGTAAGCTGACTCATAAGCAGTTAGTAGAAGTTTCGATCAGAGATTTGAGGCTTTCACGGTATTTATCGTAAACGGGATAGTATACAACTAGGTAAAGGTGAACTTTTGAAGAAGCTTAGCAACGTTCTTGTATTCGGTGCAAGTTTATAGGAGCTTTAATGGGGTATCAGATTTCTATCGGATTCCATTTTTGTGAATTAGTCTACGACAATCAATATTTGCATAAGCATCTACAGTCTAATTATTAATGTTGAGACTTTCGTATGCAAGCCGTGTTTTTGTAGAAGTATTTTCCCAACGTTTCGAAAACATTGCAGCAAGCTTCATCAGGAAATGGCGAATGACACACCGTATCAGTATTTTAAATCGTACAGATTTCTGAATGAATTTGACACTGACAGCTGACATATCTCCTTAACTCGATTTTAATCCAGACCCAATTTAACCTGTCAAGTGATACTGGCACGTATCATTCCGAAATTATAATTAAATATACACTAAAAAATTTCCCAAGAAAAATGGATATTCTACCAATAGCTTGTCGTTACCATCTGTATTAATATTTAATTTAAATACATCCGAAGGATAAACAAAATATTCTGTCTGCTCTTAACAAATACGTTCCTAAAAATGTTAATTCAAGGAATAGTAATGCATTGCACTATCGAGCACTGCGCAAGAATTAAACCTGGCTACCACATTCACGTCCGTTTTATCAAACTGTTAAACACTCGAAAATATCACGATAAAGTTCCCGAAGTCGTCGCCACCCCCGCCATCCCAGTCGAAATTAGCTTCCCCGAGTTGCCCCCGGTTTATCCGCTATAATTCTCGCGGGGAGGGGAGGGCCTCGTGGCGAGAGGTAACTCGGGCAAGCTACAACGCGAGCAATAACAATTAATACGGCGGAAACACAGTGGCTGGGTAAGTTTACGATGTTGTTGAGGGGGTGGGAGGAGGGTCGAGAGCCGCGTTTCGAACGGAGCCTGGCTAACATTGTTGCGGGCCACAATAACAGACAGTCAGATGGACGGCTCCGAGTCGGCTCCTCCTAGTCGCGCGTTTCATGATCTCTCCGCGCGCCCGAGCGGCTTTGTCTTCAAGGACAATGAGATCAAATCGCAGGCTCAATAAGGAGGCGGTTCAAAGGGTAGGGAGGAACGCCCGCGGGAACTTAACGTGATTAATGAGCGCGCTATAAATCACGCGGTAGCTTGTTCGCGCGTGGACCCTTTTTCAACGCCTTGCCCGATGTACTACCAATCCAGGGCCCTGTTCTTTAACACTTTGACTGGAACGTCACCCAAATATGGGTGGCAAGTACTCTCACGAGCAAACTCGGCTTCCTTTAGGGGAAAAAGGGACATAAGAAAAGGGCCTACTAGTATTCGGTAAATTTACTTCAAGTACTGAAATAAATGTTAAATTGGCATAAATTTCAATAATAATTCCCGATGCCAAATTGTAGGAGGACCTTCCTCTAGTGGAAAAAGTAGAATAGTACTGAAATAAATGTTAAACCGAATGTTAATTTTTCATAAATTTCAGTAACTGCCAAAACTTAATGGTAGAAGGCCCTTACCTCACTTTTTCCCCTAGCAGAAGCCGAGTTTGCTCGCGAGGGTACATTGCAAAGATGCTGGATTACCTAAATATTATTATAAAATTTTTGTGTAAAATTAAGGTCGCAGTATAATTTAAAACAAGACCAACAGCCTTTGTTAACTATACGCATATATTGTCGACGATTTATGACTTAAAAAACGAGATAAAGTGTGTCTGACTACGTACGGCCATTTTCACTGTGTCAGTCAATGTGCTAACGAGCGGGGGCCACCGATGCATTCTCTTCTGCGGAGAGAAGGGTCGAGTGCAGTTTTTGGAGAAAATCATTAATTCAACCGTACACGCGGCCTCCGCGACCCTGTCTTCCCTCAGGACAGAATCTCACGGAGACATCGACCGATCGATACACACAGTTGTATACAGGGTGCTAAGAAAAATGTTGGACACTTTCACAGGGTGGATTATGCATGGCGAATTATAACGAATTTGTGTGCGAAGATTATTAATTAAATGGGTATCTAGAAGAAGGGTGTATGTTACATTTCATAAAATTTACAGGAAAATATAAAAATAATTCATTGCTGATTGTAGCAGTTAAAGTATAATAATAATTAACTTTTTGTAACTAGCTCCTGGCCTCTAGTGCCATTTAGTAGTACTTTTATTTCGTTTTTTAGGTCATAAATCGTCGACAATATATGCATTTAGTTAACACAGACTATTGATATTGTTTTATACTGCGACATTAATTTCACGAAAAATTTTGTAACGGTATTTAAATAGTCCGACCTCTTTGCAATATACGTGTCACTCATATTTTGGTGACGTGACAATCAATGTGTTAAGGGGTGCTTTCACGCTGAAGTATTCAATATCGACAAATTGCCTGATGCTTTTACCGAGGTTTCCTACAAACCTGCAGAGTTTAAAAAAAGAATAGAATTTTTCGGGATACCGAAGTTCCCTTGTCACTGAAACTAATGAATGAAATAAAATTAAAACGAATGAAATATTTCAAATATTTTCAACATTTAATAACTCTGAGACGAAGCCTCGAATATAATTTCGTCCTAATTTGACATCTACAATCCACTCTACGAAAGTGTCTCGCATTTTTATCAACACTCTGTATACCACAGCCCACTCACGATCGACGGTCTCGAGACGAAAACGACCGGAGACGAGTTGCGTATCAACAACGAAAGTAGACACGATGGCTTCGATTCGCCAAACCATTCGACGTAGCGAAGGTATCCAATCTAACAAGAGTTCTCCAACTTTTTTTCCCCCATTCCTAGACCCAGTATCTCAAAGGGTACCAAGAAAGAGCAGACGGGGATGACATAAACGCAATGCCGCAAGAAGCTACCCGAGAGAAACTCTGCCGGTGAAAGAAGAGAGAAGAACGCTTAGGTGACCAGGTCAGGGACTTCCCTACCACTAAGACCCACACTCCATCGTGTCTCCTCTCTCCTTTTTTTCCCAAGCTTTGCCTTTCTATCTCTATCCCTTTCTTCCAGCCTTTTCTAGACACTAAATGTGTACACACGTCTCTCTTCGCCTCGAGTATCTCGTGCAACGTTCACCTATACGCGATGACGCGCGTGTGTCCCGCGAATCGCCGTAAAACGATCGCCGAAAGCGTCGTAAAACGCCGGGGACCTACAGGGTGGACCATGAAACGTGATCGGTTTAGATTATTTTATTGTTAGCTGTTCGATCGAAAATATTTTTGAACGCTTATAGACAGTCCCTGGCCACATTAACTCTTTGAGGCACACGATTTTAAAGAAAATAAAAACCCTAGTTGCACAGAATTTTTTTTAATATAATAAAAATTATACAAAAATAATATATTGAACTGTATGACTATGAGTAACTTCAACATTAAGAGTTAATGTGACCACTAGAAAATTTTATGGAAAAACAAACGTTAATGCTTGTATTAAATAAAAAAATATGTCTTCATATAATCCAAAATTAGTGGAAAATATTAGGTTAATGGTGAACACTGTATTGAAGGAACAAAAGTTTTTTATTGTATGCAAAAGACATTTTTAATCAATATTTGGTTATTCCTCCCTCTGCCACTACGATAGCACATTAACTTTGTATGCACTTGAAGCAAATTTCTTTTAAATATTTATTATGTTTCCAATAATAGGTCATTCTTTCTATTAAAACCCTCTTATTTGTAACATTTACTTTAGAAATTTATCGTTTCGAGAGTTCCCAAGTATTCTCAATAGGATTAAGGTCATGGAAATTTCCTGGCCAATCCAGTAATGGAATAGTTCTGTCCTGGAGAAATTTTTTCACTGATTTAACCGGTCCTCCATCAAAGAATAACGATTATGCTTCAGAAAACTGGTCTTAGTAATATTTTGTTTAAAGTAAACAACTGGTCACATTAATATGGCCAGGGACTGAATAATATAATATAAACATAAATAGAACTAAGCAGTCGTTTCTTATCAGTTTACTCCAGTGTATTGCACCTAATGAACACCATTTTAAAAATGTTAATTAAAGTAAAAGGTATTCCCATAATCTTTCTTCGATTTAGAACAAAAAAAAAATATCTGTCATGATGCTTGCCAAATTGTCTCAATATCCACTAAAAGATGCACGTAAAAAAAATTATAGATAACTTCACAAAAAAACAGAAGGTGTCCTCAAAAATTCTAAAAAAAAAAAAAGGAATGACAAACAATTTGCTACAATCATCTTAAAGCTCTCCTTAAATTGTGTAACATATACAGTGATTTCTCGATGAATACGACACGAGTAACGGCGTTATTCCCACCACTGGGGGAGTCCCTCTGTGGAACCAATCAAAACAGAGTAAACAGAAGCTAAGCAGAGGCTCGACTTCGAACGAAAACAAATTTATGAGAAGCTGAAAACCTTTCTGCCTTGTCACGAATGCTCTAAAGTGGACTCGAGTACGTTGCACTCATCGAGACATTACTGTACTAACTAAATCACGTGTTAAATTAACCGAAAAAAAATTCCGATCAAACAGCTAGCAGTAGAATAATTTAAGCTGATCACGTCTCGAGGTCCACCCTGTATACAGGTGGGCTCGTAACGCGAGCACGCCGCGTCGTTAACATCGAACGACGCGCGTCGTGACGCAAATTCCCGCAATCACGGGCGTCCGTGTACGCGACGAGTAGTAGCTCCCTTGGTCAGGCCCGATCGAGAGTTTCACTTTACAGTCCGGGGAACC